TGAAAGAAGAGTTTTAAAGGAGACCCTGATTTTCTTCCTCTCACTGAGCTGTATACGCACATGCTCTAAACCACTAGACACTGAGTTCATTCCTCCTTACATACTGATGTCCTTGTGATATGACAGGAACTTTTAAATGAGTTGCTCCCAGAAGCATCATTTTTGAAGATGGGTAAATGGTTTTGTGCATGTATCAAAGCACACATCATGGGTCTGTCACGGCCTTGCACAGGGAGATCTGTAATTCTTCATTCCAACGTGGGGCAAGCATGTCCTGGCTACTGCTGATAGAGACAGAACATCTCCTGTTGTAAAAATGCTACATAAACCCCCACCATATTCTCTGGCTGAAACCAAATGAGTGCATCTCTAATCCCCGCATTCCACAGGAGTATCTGCTGCAGCCCTGTCTCTCTGCTGGAAAGGCTGTCATGTTGCCTTAAATTTACCTGCAGACTTAGTGACCTCTCTTTCACCTAATGACAGATCTAAGGCCTTCGGATGGTAAGGATGGAATATGTAAAGGCAAGACTTCGCCAAATGTATTCTCAAATAGCAAAGAGGCGTCCCCATGCTGAGAAGAGAAAAAAATGCAGTCATTTATTTGGTAAGCTAAGGGATCCCAAAAGTTTCTCTTGCTGCATTCAATTTGAAAACAGGACAAGAACAAATGAAGTCCCTGGCTCAATGGAGAACGATGACATTCTGCTTTTTCAGAACACAGGGTTCGATCGGTAGAAGCCCCTTGCTCTGTGGGTCCTAGCTGCCTCCTTCAGAATGTCTTCATAAAGCTTCTTAAGAGGGCTATTAATGAGTACTCATACATTTTTAAAAATATTAAACTTTTAAAATTTTATTGGAAAGTAGTATCCTCGAAGTAGGGTGTATCTCAATCACATCACAGCAAAGTACACATTAACACGGAGCTTTGCCCCACGTCCAATTTTAAGATTTATCAGCATCTTTAAAAGTGTACAGTGGCATGCCAGGAATTATAACAGGGTGCCTTATGAAAAATCTATGATCTTCCTTCTGAATTATATATTTACGACCTACTGAGGATGATAGATTTCAGGGAGGTAAATGTGATTTAGGAACTGCTTTTAGGCTCCAACCACACTGGGGTTGGCGAGTGGCCTCTGAAGGGACTGGAATGCAGTGGGGTGAAGCCCTTCCCCTTCCTGCACCATCAGCTGGCTCCACAGGAGGCCTGCAGCCCTCTCACTGGGGAACATTCTGGGCGGTACCGATCACTGTCACCTGGCGGCCATGGACTATCTGGGTTGGGGGTGACCTATAGCCTTAAGCTGAAGGTTCAACCACGGTTCACAGAGTGCCTGTGATGTCTCGGGTATGGTTCTAGGTGCTGGGACTACAGAGCGCAGTTCTCCTCAGCCCTGGCCCTCCAGCCTACTGTGGACCTTCATCAAAGGTAAGGTCAGGAAGGTAGATGATGCAGAATCTCTGGGGAGGTCATCCTGCAGCCTGCTAAGAGAGCTGAGGCCAGTCTGCAGGAGGGACGCAGCTTGAAACATCTAAGGGCAATGACTCTGGAATCACGGAATCTGGCACTGTGTTCTCCTGACTACTCTTGACCAGTTTACTGTTTCCTCACAGCGGAGGTGTTGATGTCTGAATAAAGCAGAAAAAAAAAACCTTCCCAATTTGTGTTTCAACTTTAAACCCACTCTCTTAATGAGTACACACAATTTTAAAGCCTTAAAAGGATTATAATTCTGCGGAAAGCATGGGAGTTAGTGGGAAGACCAGGTGGGCCTAGAGCTAGCTAACCAGAGAAATTAGCTCTCTGTCCCAAGCTAATCTCAAGGATGACAACTTTACTGAGTCCTGAGATTCCTGGGAATGCTACAGATCTGCCATTTGAGCTTGGGTGCCTTCGTTTCCTCTCAGACTCTGACTCAGAAAGCGAGGGAAATTGCAGATCCTCCAGGAGAGGCCCGGTGATCTTCTTCATAGCTGGGCCAGACTCACGGTTGACTCCTCATGCAGCCTATCTTAGGGGAATGGGCTATTCCAACTTATCTGGTCATGATCCAGTTAAATGCATACTGGCAAACAGAAGACTCCAAAACTTTGGGCTCCTCTTCAGAAAAGGAAGGAAGGAGTTAATACTCTTTTGAGTACCATGCACCAGGAATTATGGTAGGTACATTTACAGATGTCATCTCATTAAAGAACCGTAAGTATACTCAATAACCATTAGACAAATTCAAAATACAAGGCATCACATAGTGCAGCGTGTGAATTCCGTCACAAGAAGACTGCTTCAGGAATCACAAGGAAAATTTCGAGCTTCTAATCATAAGAGCTGATGTACATTAAACACCTAACAAGTGCAGTATATATGCAACATGCCAATCCTCACAAAATCCTAAGAAGATGTTTATCATTTTTTTTTAATTTTAAGTTTACTTATTTTTGAGAGAGAGAGAGAGAGAGAGTGCATGCATGAACAGGGGGAGGGGTAGAGAGAGAGGGAGAGAGACAATCCCAAGTAGGCTCTGCATGGTCAGTGCAGAGCCAGATGCGGGTCTTGATCTCGTGAACTGTGAGGTCATGACCTGATCCGAAATCAAGAATTGGATGCTTTACCAACTAAGCCACCCAGGCACCCTATTTTTATCATCATCATCATCATCATCATCATCCAAATTTTACAGGTGAGGAAACAGAGGCTAGATAAAGAAAGGTGTACTGCCGGTGAGTGGTGAGGTCTGTCTCCAAATCCCATGCTTTAACTCTCTCTATCCACATTTGTTGTACAAAGGACATTGTTTTATAAGAGATGTTTTATTTCTAAGTCAGGTTGACTAATTCTAAAGATATATCCAGTGCTAAGTCCCCAAAGACAGAATAACCAAATTTATTACAGGTTTTCTCACTTTCAAAGAACTGATGATATTTGCCCTAACACACCGACCTATTTTCCTTGGTTCTGACATCCAGGACTGTCCTGACTTATCTTCCCTACAGTGATGTGCATCCTGCTGACAAGCCTCTCCGCATTTCACTGAAACAATCTTGCCACACAATAGATGAGGTTAAAAGCCCCCGGTTTGTAGCCCCTGGTTTGCCACCAAAGCAAGTCACGTGGAAGGTCCTGAAACCACAGCTCACTTGAACAAAGCTGTCTGCAGCAAGGAGGAAGCAAGCCAAAGTAGTTTTTCCATTTTATTAATAGAGGCACTTGAGTTGGAATCTCGCGTTCTGAACCTGCCGCCATTATATTTTTATTTTCCCGCAGACAGACCTAATATGCCCAACTGGGTCATACACATCTGGCGTTAGGCACAGGCTTGGATGATTTCTGAAGGGCCCAAATGAAATCAGACTGGACAGATCATTCTGTAGCTCGGAGAGTGTGCTGCACAAAATAAACTAGGAGAGCAACACAAGGGAAAAGGAGAGAAAAGGAGCTTTGGAAGTACAGGGCAGAGGGTCAATTTATCATCACTGCACCAGGGGGAGAAGTCAGCCTGGGCTTCTGGGATGTGTGATTCATCATGGGGAGTCCTCACGATTGTTCAGAGCCTCGCGAGGAAGGGATAAGCCATCTATGTGACACCAGATCTGCAGGGTGAGAGGTTCTCCGCCACCCCTCCTCCCTCACCTACCCCTCCCTGCCCCTCACGTTTCCCCCCCTGCCCTGCCAGGACCCAATCAGTGCTTGCCCAGGAAGGAAGCAGCAGCATAGCATCACGTTCAGAAACCATTCACAAGTGGAAACAAAAGCAGAGCCCGAGCTCCCGGGGGCCTGTGTGCCCAGCTCAACAAGCTGTGACCAGCCTGGAGCAGTTTATCTGCCGCCAGCACCAGCAGCGAGCAGAAAGCAAAAAGCAGGCTCATTTCCATTTCCAGGCGGGGCCACTGGATGGAAAGACCTTCCTAGGTCCAAGGGAACAGGTTTCATTTACTGTGGATCGACTAATTAGTGTTCAGACTTAAGGAGAAACAAAATAAGTCCAATCTTTCAAAACCAGAGAAATTAGAGGTGGCTATTTATAGAATCAAGGACCCATTCCAGACAACTCTCCTAGCGTACAAAAGTGACTGCAGATTATTTACTTGGAGGCTAACCAGGGACACAGACAAGCAAGGCTAAGAAGGGAAAAACGGCCAGTGGCAGACAGACAAAGCAGACATGATGCCCTCGTGACTTTATGTAATCCAAGAGCCAAAGCAACGTTTCCCTTCCTCGGTTCAGATGAAGACAGGGTGGGAAGGTGGCCCTCCACTGAGATCCTAACCAAGTCCTCACATGCTGTCATTCCCAACCTCAAAAGGGTCTCTTCAGACACAGCCCTGGGCTCATTTCTTGTATTTCTATGGGTTCAAGAGGGCACACCGTGAAAAGAAATGTGGGGCAAAGAGAAAAGAAACAAACTGCATCCTACCATATATGTGAATTATTTACTCCATTGTGAGAGGCTTACAAATTATGAGGAAGTAAGAAAGGAAGTCCTCCCTTACATCAAATGTTGTAAAATAGGAGCTCATTGCCTTATACGGTATTAAATAAAATGGAGGTGCAACTTTAGCATAGGGAGATTTCATATGTAAATCTGATTTGGGGGGGTTCTTTGTTTTGTTTTCTCATTTTTGGAAAAAATAAGAATTTCTGATGAAACTGGACCTTCCTGCTTCCATTTTGTCACTGGCTGAGCCTCCTCGGAAGGGGTAGGTAAGACCTGCCATATTTCCCCTGTCTGCCCCCTCCTCATACCTGCTGCGCCTCTGAATTACTAGCCCCAGGGCCGGCTTGCAATTTCCGTTTTGAGCAAACTACCTCTGAGAAGTAATATTTGCTTTGAAAAATGTGTGTGTGTCTGATTCAATATTTACTCTCTGGTCAACTGGGAAAACAAATTGATCTATATGCAATTCACACTGCTGGGAAGATCTCACAAAAGATTGTTCTTAAGGGCTGATACCAAGCTGGACTGTTCTGGAGGAGCTGGAATGGCAACTCTTGCTCCTACCTCGTATGCACATGTTCCCCAACACAAGTACGTGCGCACATTCACCACCACCACCACCACCATCACCTTCACCACCACTACATTCACCATCATCACCACCATCACCTCCACCGCCACCTCAGGACTACTACGCCCAGCACACCACCACCACCACCACCACCATCACCTTCACCATTACTACCACCACCACCATGATCACCACCACCCCAGCACCATCACTTCCACCACCGTACTCCTTATTTAACTGGAGATGCAGAGCCAAAGGCCACCCCTGACTGGCCCGCTTACCCCTGCTTGGGGTGTTATTTGAAACATAAGAATGACATTGATTTAATTTTTTTAATGTTTTATTTATTGCTCAGAGAGACAGAGAGACAGCGTGAACAGGAGAGGGTCAGAGAGAGAGGGAGATACAGAATCTGAAGCAGGCTCCAGGCTCTGAGCTGGCTGTCAGCACAGAGCCCGACGCGGGGCTCAAACCCACGAACTGTGAGATCATGACCCGAGCCGAAGTCGGATGCTTAACCGGCTGAGCCACCCAGGCACCCCATGATTTAGAAAAGTTGAAAGGGATAGGTTTGTTCCTGAGCTAAGGGACAAGATTTCTGGGAAAGGTGGGCTGGAAACCCTCACTGCAAACAGTGGAGTAAGCAGGCACTCAGATAGGTAGGTACTCGAGGGTAGGGAAGCAGTTAGACACCAATGCATGCCATGAGGAAGCCTCTGTGAGGAATTTTCACTTGGGGATATTCTGCGATCGTAGTTATGGAGTGTGGAACATGGAAATGACCATAGTTAGGTGGAGGGTTTTTCCTCCTCTACTGTGTTTGTAGCTGTCTCAGTCCTGCAGTAAATAAAGTAGGCTCGTGAGGTGGCAGTATCAGGACAAAGGGGCAGGGATGGGCCCCTAACTGGAGTCTGCCTACTGTAGTAGCATGTTCGGGCAGCTATGACAAATGACAACAGGCTGGATGCCTTACACAACAGACATTTATTTTCTCACAATTCCAGAAGCTAGAGGTCTGAGGTCAAGGTGCTGACAGGCTGGTCTCTTCTGAGGCCTCTGTCCTCAACTTGCAGATGGCTGTCTTCTTCCTGTGTCTTCCCATGATTTTCCCTCTGAATGTGCCTGTGTCCAAATTTCCTTTTCTTACAAGGACACCAGTCATACTGGTTTAGGCTCCCCCACCCCCCGCCCCCTAATGACTTCATTTTAAATTAATTACCTCTTTAAAGACTCCAGACGCAGTCACACTCTGAGGCGACAAGGTTTAGGACTTCAACGTATGACTTTTAACATAACATGGAACCCCTGGTGTACTTTTCTGCGAGTCCGAGCTGGTGCGCACAGTATGGGTACAGCATCCTCAGGCGGACCTTATCCTGGGGCTTGGGGCAGCGCCCCACAGAGAGAGCCCCCGTCCAGAGCTGGGCGGCAGGGAGGAGCAGAGGAGTGGGCACTGAGGGGCAGCTGCTGGAGGAGCAAATGGATACCTGAAGAGCAGAAGAGAAAACCTTCTCTTCTCATGCTCATACTATGCTGATGCTTGAGGGCGGGCTGACACGACACCTGGGTAAATCTGCTGTAAAACCAGAGTGGGAGGGGCACCTGGGTGGCACAGTCAGTTGAGCATCCAACTCTGGATTTCAACTCATGTCATGATCTCATTGTTCGTGGGTTTGAGCCCCGCATCAGGCTCTGCGCTGGCAGCATGAAGCCTGCTTGGGGTTCTCTCTCTCTCCCTCTCCCCCCCACTCTCTCTTACTCTCTCTCCGCCCCCATCCCTTCCCCACTCACACCATCTTTGTCTCGCTCAAAATAAATAAATAAACTTGAAAAAAGTAAAACAAGAAGGGGAAAAGATGATTTGATTTGCCACGTTTCAATGTGCTGATGGATATTTAGGGCCACACTTCTATAAAGAGAGGAAGACGTATACTGGATGCCTCTATGAAGTGACTATTTGATCTTGGATCTGTCTTGTCCCCTTCATCTCAGTTTCTGCATCTGTATAATGTGAGGGAAGTGTCTGAATGATCCGAATGAAAAACGGCTCCTTGATTCCAAGACAGCAGCTCATGAATAATCAGCAGGTTAGACTCTAATGACCTCAGTGTGAAAGGCAGAAGAAAAAAAAAGATCAGTGGGCAAAACACACTAGGTCTAGTAACAGAAGCTTGTGTCTAGCCCAGTACTGGGTCCAGAATAAGCACAGGATAAAGCTTGCAAGACAGGAGGAAGGCAGAGACCTTTCATTAACTTTTCAAAGCTGCTACAAGAAGAAACCAACTTCCCCCCTGAGGCCAGTGTGTAGTACAGGTGCCGTGTCTGTGCTTGGATATACCACCGTTTTTGAAAGTCTGCTGTACTTCCTGCAAAGTTTCTTGAAGGTGCCAGAAAGAAGGACCTAATGAGAGAAACTTTCATTTCTCTCATAGGTAAGTGATCAAACTACAGACTGCTTAATGGGTTGAAAGAGGCCTGCAATCCTTCACCACAAGAAATGCCCATCATTTCAGTAGCAGAAGCTTGCCACAGGAAGAAACCTCGAAGGATGTGCACTCACCGGAAAAATCAATTTGCATGCTAAGGCAGGAGGAAATGTTATAAAAACTTAGCAAAGCACATGATTTTTTTCTCTCAGAAAATACAACCATAAAAGGGATGAGAATTTCAAACAGGAAGAAAAAATGGTCACATGAGGTGTACCTTACAGAGGACAACGGATGAGTATGCTGAAGGGACAGGTACTAGATAATTTATATTCCTATAGATTTAGTGTATCATTCTGTAATGTGTTTTGTTATTTATAACGACTGCACTCTAAAATCTCACCGCATTCTCTGGGCTACTTCAAGTTATACGTACACACACACAACATAATTTCCCATCTTCCGTCTTTATACCGGTGACTGGGCCTTGTCATCTTTTTTTGATTTGCAAATAAAATACGCTCTCTGTTCTCCTTGGAAGACTTTTATCAGAACCATCCAGCCCTGAACAGAGAAGCATTTCAAGATCAAAAGGGAGGCAAATAATACTCTTTTAGCAAGCAAGATAAAGATTCACACATAATTAAGCTGGGACTATAGGATTATTTAAGTGGATATATCTTTTAAGAATAATTGAACTGCTAGAAGCTATTCAAAATACTGGGGCCAGGACTGAAAAAGAAAGGGAATTGACAAGGTGTTTGTTGAGGACAAGGAGAGAAGGGAGGGCACGGGGAAGAGGGAGGGACAGACAATGGTTCAGCAGTGTCTGTGCATGCCAGGCCCTCTGTGTAGTTCATGGATGAGGTAGGGATCACTGACCCCTGCTTTACAGATAAGGAAACGGGGGATCAAAGTTAACCTGGCAAGGCAGATGGAAAGAGGCAGCGTGTTCCACAGTTTCTGTCTCCAGCCCATGCACGTCACCATGTGCTAAACTGCTGTCCATCATCTCATTCAGGGTGAAATAAAGGCCTCTTTGAGTAATCATTCATTCAGAGGGCATTTATTGAGTGCCTCCTGTTTCCCAGGTGCTAGACCAGCTATTCTGAATAGAGAGAGAAGTAAAGTAGTTGGGACTGGCAATTATGGGCCAACTGCTATCTGACAGTCAGCATCTGAGTGTTTCTCCCTCCCCCACCCCCCAACATTTATTAACTCTTCATACCAAGCCTGTGTTAGGGATTGTTATCCCCACTTCGCTCTTGAGGGGAAAGGGTCTAAGTCTTGTGAGCCGTCCTAAAATATAATCTCAGGACTCCCTGAATTTAACATCTCTGCTCTCCCACACTACCTTCCATTCACCATCTCAGTAAATCGAGTGTCATGCCCACAAAGGGTTTAAACCTAGTAGGTCATCAACACAAGTGATTATAATATAAGAGAAATGAGTGCATTCATTCCCTTTTCACAGCTGCCTTCTCTGATAATGAGGTAATCAGGGTTAAAATCATAACCACTAGGCTAAAACATTAATTCACTGTTTAGTTTATGTACCCATTATCAGCTTTCTGCATCTATTTGCTGGAATTAGCTTTCTATCTCTGTTACAATCATAAAAGGCTATGAAGGAATGCATATGACTTTGAATAAGTAGGCTAAAAATTGCATATTTTATGGTGGGGAGAGGCAATCACTCCAATGTTTACACATGACAGATCTGAAATTAGGCAAGATTTAATACTGAGAATTCACCAACGAAGAGGAAGTTGCACTTTGAATCTTTCTACAGTTCTTTGCTGGTCTTGTTTCTTTAGCAAATCCCTTGGATTCTGGTCATGACAACTGTCCTCTTATAGTGAGAGGTGTCAGATGAATGCTTACAGACTCAAAAACCCTTGCAGCCTGTACATGGTCAAGCTAAAATCTCAAATCAATGTACAGGCAGAACACCAGCAGTATACAATTAAAGTGCCTTCTATCATGGGGATAGCAGACTAAAAACAAATCATTCATGTCCTCCTCGTTACCTATTCAGAAATGTACCTGCCAGGTCAGCCTCTAAATGGGTCCTTTTCAAGAAGAGTCCATTTTATTTTATTGGAAAGGAGAGATATGAAATAGAGCCAGAAGGTTAATATGAGCTTAAGAGGAGCATAGGGTTATCTTGGCAATTAAAGGCTCTCCAGGAGGTTAATTACCCACACCCAACACTTACAACTCACAGGATGTATTAGCAGTCACAAAAATCTGTGTACAGCAGAGAACTCTATTCTGCACTCTGAATGATGTTATTTTACTCAGGTTTTTTGGAAGACTGGGTTAAAGTAATATCCTTTCCATGATCCATTCAGAAAAAAAGAGACGAATGTCACTGAAACCATCACAGCAAAGTTATATAGAAAAAAAAAATACTGTGACCAAGAACTGTACAAGTTAGAAAGTGAGAGCAAGAGAGTGTGCATGGGAGAGAGAGAGAGAGAGTGCAAGAGAGATGGAGAGACTGAGTGAGAGAGAGGAAGACTAAGATGATCTGGTGTTTGAAACCCTCAGCAGGAGGGGTGACTAAAAGAAAGAGCACGAATGATGGGGCCCCTGGGCGATGGGGCGGCGCAGTGGTGGGTGCGTGAGGGCAAGTTGAGGTGGTTCAGCTGACCTATAGCTTTCAAATCTCCACCCTGAAACTTCAGGAAAGCCAGTTTGCTGCTTTGACCCGCTGCCTTCACCCTGGCTGAAATCCATTTCTAGGCCCAAGATGGAAACGCTGTTGTCTGAGGTCGCACATCAGCAAACTGAAACTTGGCTAACCTCTGTGCCTCCTGTCAGTGCTCTGCTTGACCAGAATCCAAGTATATATATCCAGTCACTCAGTCCCCAAAAGCCAAGCCAAGGCTGGGCCCTCTCCTTCCTTCTTTGTTCTTTCTCACCCCAAGCAAGGTTGGCTGTGTGGCTCCAGCCAGTGAGTTATTTTTAAATTTCCTCTTCCTTGTTGTTTATTTTTCACTTTGCGAAAGCCTGCCTTCCACTCCATTTTGCAGTTACCGCAGTGGAGACAGCCTGCTTTGCGAGGTGTCAATGTTTGTTTCTATGTTTGTTTCTGTTTCTCTAGTTATTTTTTAACAACGCTCATCCAAACATCTCATCAGGTCTCAGGTGGATCCCTCTAAGAGCACCCCCAGCGCCTCCGCGCTACTTGTGCCCTGCCCCAGCCCATCTCTGTTCAGCTGAGTAGCAATGCGAGCAAGCGTATCATGCTATCCCCGCGTGATGGGTTTCCACCGCGCTCAGGAAAAAGTGTGTAATCCTTCCCACAGCCCTGTTTGCTTTCTGCAACTTCATTTCCTACCACTTTTTCCCACCTCCATCTTTAAACCCTTGATCACACTGGCCTAGATGACCACACTGGCCTTGAACAGAATCTTGGCTTCCTGTCACCAAATGTCACCTACTCAAGAGGCTCTCCCAACCAGTCTGTCGGATGTTGCCTCCCACCCCCACTTTCAGGCACTATCATGGAACCTTCCTTGAGTGACCTCAGAGAGCTTGCATTTGGAGTTACAGCCTTTATCCATTTATTACGTGCCCCCCTGCCCCTTCCTGTTTACTCTGTATCCCCAGCACATAGGGCAGACCCTGTGGCCTGGGCCAAATGAAGTAGCCATGGTCTGAGGCTCCTCTCTGCACATTAGCTGCCTTGGAGCTACTATCCTGGGATGCAGACATGAAATCGAATGTTCAGGAGGTTTAGGTGTTATGACACCATACGATAATGACTAAAACCGCAACAGTTACAGCTACACTTTACTGAGCACCTACTTAGCATAGATACCAGAAGGGACATTGCACACTTATTTCCCCCAGCAACCCTAAGAGGTCGCTAGCTGCTATGCTGCTCTACATCCCCAGGATGATTAAAACCAGGTACCGAGAAATGAAGTTCCAGATCCATCTGTGTTAGTCTAAAGAACGAAAATGTTTGGTCCGTATTTATGTAAGTCTGTAAAAGGATGCACAACTGTTCAGGATTCTTCTGGGAAGTAAATTCAAATGCCTGGAAACACTTTTCCCTCCTGTCACACTGTACCACATCTTCCTGAAGACACAGCCTTTCCAGGGACAAGGCAGCAAGTGATCTCAGGCAGATGCCCCAGCTAATGAGGTGGCCTCCTTTTCCCTGCTGGGAGGTAATGGGTTCAACTACCCGAGAACACAACCTCCCCAGGAGTCCTGGACTCTGTTGGGAGGAAAAGGAGCACATAAACATAACAGGTGTTATTATTTTGGCAAATGTTCTCTAATTCTGGACCAGATATGAACTGCAGCCCAATGGTATGATTTTGAAAAAAGAATTATAATAATTATTTTTTGGCAGCCTGGAGTCTTTTATCTTTATGAGATGATAGCAGTGTTTTAAAAGGATTATCACAGCATTGATGATCATAATAATAATCCTTTATTACGTGTAATGCTTTAAGATAAAAGTGCTTCAGCATAAAATATAAGGACTGATCCTAATAACAATCCTTTGAGGTATATGGAACAGTAATTATTTGTCACATTTCACAGTAGGGGAAACTGAGGTCCAGGGCAATTAAACAGCTTTTATCCATTTGAGCTAATCATGATCATGGCAATGCAGTTACTTCATCCACAGGGCCCGATTCTTAGCCCAGAATTTGTTACATAAATCATTGCTGGTGAACTGATTTAAAGGAAAACAACAGGAGAGAAAGGTGTGAGTGTATGAGCGTGTGTATGTGTGTGTGTGTGTGTATATGATCTGTGGACTCCAGTAAATGATTCTTAGGGACTAACAGACCATTTTAGAAGCACAGATATGTGCTAAACCCTTAACAAACCCCTACCTTCCAAGTGCCATCATCCATTCTGTATCAGACCGTCACACCTAAATCACAGAGCCGTACATACTACCCAGACCTCAGGCTTCCCAATAAAGACACCATACGTAAAGAAAGAATGTTCCACTAAGCACTTTCATATCTATTTTCTCATCTCTTGCCTTATGGTGGGTTTTTTTTTCCTCCTCTAGAAATAATGCTCTTACAGTTTATGTTGCTGCTGTTTCTGCCTTAATGAATTATAGAAGTACATTTTACGGTTTCAGAAACAGTAGTCTTGGGCATTGAATCAACTAGCAGGCTTCCCTTCCTCAACTCTCTCCCCAGAAAGGAAATGAGAAGCAAAGCAATGCAGGTCTTCACAAATGATGGACTTCACTCTCATCATAGCACTTTTGCTCTTTCCTTTTCTGCATTGGAGGCCCTGGGGGCTTGCAGGGCTTTACTCCTGAATTTTCCTTTCTGATGGCTGACAAAGGGGCTTGAAGTCAAGGCAGATGTGTTGGGCATCTGGTCTGCCACAACAGCTCTGCACGTGAGAGTGCATTCAGAGGAATGCGCCAGAGATCTCCACATTCAGAACCAATCAGCCCAAGAGAGGTCTCTTCATTTTGGAATCCACTGTTCAAATGTATTAAAGTGCTAGTTTATGTTGAAGGTTAAAGAAGTTTAGTGAAAGTCAGTTTTAATGAATGCCAGTTCCCTCTATGCACTTACCTCCAGAAAATGTTCTGCCTGCTGTTCTCGATCCAATTTCCTTGAAGTTGTTGTAATCAGACCTGCGTAGAAATGAGAATATTTGACTTTTAAATATCTGGGGCAAGTAGTTTACTGAGCATGGGAAGCAAATTTAGTTAAAGGAAAAGCAAAAATGATGGGGAACAGTAACTCTCCAATCCCCAGTGACAATCGAGATGGTCTCCGAATTATTCTTGAAACAAAATAAAATGTACAGAGAAAACCTGCAGAATTTGTTCTGGCTCTGCTTACCTCAGTTAGGTACTGTAATCACTTTGGGGATGTAAAAACTCACTGAAGAACCATTGTTTTTCTGATAATGAGGAATTTCAATGATTCATTTGCATATGACTGAAATTCTACAGTAAGAACCTCATTAAAGATTTCAGAGTTCTTGAACATTAATAGGTTGTTGATGCTGATTAGAATCAGCCTGTGAAACAGCACTTTCTCATTGAACTTTTTTATGCTTATATAATTTTTTGTTACACTTGACAAAGAAGGTTACTTCCGTAATAGCTCCTTGTACACATAATTATTTCAAATTTAATAACTCTTATATATGGAAGACCTCACACCGTAATTTCATCATTGTGTTTAAATCTTTAAACAAAATAAGTTCCACGTGGGAAATATCTCTGTATCCTTCCTTCGAATGGAGTTTCCCATAAATGAATCAGCCCTTTGAGTATAGACAAAGAAAAGGCAATGAGAAGACAGAACCTTCAAGGCTGACCAGCTTATGCAGCAATTTGTGTTTTGCAGGTTTTACTATTATTATTGTGAAATGGCTATTAGGAGGTCAAATTTATATTCCATTTCTTGATTCTACACTGGCCCTGAAGACAAGAGACTATGGACTGGGCTGGCTTCGTGACCTAAGCCGACGGAAAGAAAAGACCAGAGAAAATCACGTGAAAAGCTCCCTCCCAAAACTGGTGAGACGTAAAGCATGGAAAAGGCATTTTGCCAGGATCTGCTGAGGAACTCATGACCTCCATCTTTTCTTTTAACCCACGTGGTGGGGTGGAGCACGTGGATTTTAGAGAAAGCCAAGAAGAGGTCACAGGAGGCTAAATGACCTTCAAAATAAAATCCCATTGGGGGTAGCATGGCTCTTGACAAAATGGCCTCACTCCCTTTTACTCTCAGCTGTCCACACTCCTCATGGGAGGGAAACCTGTGTTCCCATGGCCCAGAGGAGCGGCCTTTCCATGAATTCTTTCTAGAGCATGTCCCACCCCACTGCTTCACCTCTAGTGTTTTTCAAATTTAGCTCAGATGTTAGAGAGACGATGTGTCTTCCAGGGTTAGGTGTCCATCTGGTTATGTCCCAACACAGCCAGTATGCTCCTCCATCATCGTTCTTTGTTCTATGCTATAATCCATTGCTCACGTGTGTGTCTGTGTATTTCCCACTAGACAAGTTGACAGATGACAGAGTTGCTTCATGGGAAGGGTCTGCCTTTCCATTTTGAAGCCCTGGGGCCCACCTACTCCCTGGTCTAAAACAAAGAACAGGTATTTCATTAATGCTCAGTTAACAAAAGTTGCTGTGGAAGAGATTACTTATATACTAATCTTCCGTTTTGCTGCAGATTTAGAATGTGTTTGTTTAGGAAGGAATAATTTTAAATGTTTATTTATTTTGAGAGAGAAAGAGACAGACTGAGTGAGGAGGGGCAGAGAGAGGGGCAGAGACAGAATCCGAAGCAAGCTCCAGGCTCTGAGCTGTCAGCACAGAGCCCAATGCGGAGCTCGAATCCACAAACTGTGAGATCATGACCTGAGCCGAAGTTGGATGCTCAACCGGCTGAGCCACTCAGGTGCCCCAGGAAGATATTGGTTTGTGTGTAGGGAGAGTATCTGTAGGTGGACTAGGGGTGTACCTCTTTAGTATTCCTTTGAAACCATTTGCTGAGTTCCTCCATGTGAGTGGCACAGTGCTAGGCACTCTTGGGAATCAAAGATGAGCTACTGTCTGAGATTACGGAGAGAAGACTGATATCACGACTTTAAAGTGGGAGAATCAGTAACTTCTCTTCCCTAGCTGCCCATCAGAACCTCCTGGGAAACTCAAAAACTCAGATTCTGTGTCCCACTCCATCCCTCCTTTACTGTGTCCATGTGTCTTGGTTGCTATGATGCCTAAGGTGGTTCTCCCATTTCTAAAAGATGGCTCTATGCATTTGCACCATCCCTTGTTGAATCTCACTATGACTTTTTATTGACATTAATTTTTCTGCCCAGCTACATCCAAAAATGAAGTATGCTGAACTGCTTTAGCTTCTGGATCAGTGTGTGCAGGGGGTAAGGGGTGAACCAGAGGGAGGCGGAGATGGTGTGAGAGTGCACTGGCGGGTGGGGTGAGAAAGGAGGAATAAAGGGGGCACAGCTCTTGGATGCGTATTGACTAAGGGTCGGTGTGGTCACACCAGTGGGCGTCTAACACACACATCTGATGCCTTCATTCTCAGACCATTCTATCTGACAAGGTCATATGTCACAAAGGCGCTTTCCAAGTGAGAAGTAAGTGTCTTCTCGGAAAGGAAAAGGAGGCTTTCACGAACCTTGCCACCTCCTCAGGGGGCATCCTCTGTTAGAGGTCACAACTGGAATGAGAAACACTTGTTATATGGAGGCTATAAACGGATGAAAGGGCTGTCAGCCTTCTCTGTGCTGGTTGCCTGCTGCTCTTCCAGGCACAAAAGACCAGGAGCCCTTTGCCCCCTGTTCCCTTGAGGACACTTGTGTCATTTTAGCCACAGCCCATTGTGACGTGCTATGCATGGGGAAGAGGTCAGCTTCTTCTCCTGGTTATTCTTAGGGTGATATATATATGTGTGTGTGTGTATATATATATATATATATATATATATATACATTTCCTTATATATACATATACATACATATATTTATACATATATATATATATATATTTTTTAGGAAAGCCACTTACTTGCACAATGCATATGTGAAACTGAGAGAGCAGTGTGGCTCTCCTGTCATCTGCCTACTGGCATGAAGATGTGTTTTTCACATATTTATCAGCTGACAGCGAAGGAGATGAGCTTCCTGAAAAGTTGAAACCATATACAACAGTAAACCTGGAGCTCTAAGAAAGCCAAGCAGTTTCTATTCCTGGAAGAAAGGCAGGAAAACCTCTATAGGCTTTAGTGCTCTGTGTTTCCATGACCTCATCTTTATTCTCACAGGTAATAGGTAAGAGTCAGGTAAAAAAAAAAAAAAAAGAAAAGAAATCTAAGTCAAAAGTGAAAATCGACAGGAAATCCGATGAGGTGGGGCTGGGGGCAGGGAACGCTGTTTGAGGGTACAAGGTTTCTTCTGGGGGTGATGAAAGTGCTCTACAATGACAGGTTATGGTGACAGTTGCACAGACCCCAAAGTATTCTGAAAACCATTGACTTGTATACTTTAAATGGGTAAATGTCATTGCATGTAAATTACATGTCAGTAACACTATTTAAAAATCAGTAGGCGATCATAAGCTCTGCCTTTTAGAGTTTAACAAGCCTCTCATGTTTGGAGAAGACAGACACTCAAAAATGAAGGAATGGATGGATAAGTTAGTTTAGGAATCAGGCATGAAGAGGGGCTGGAATGAATGAAGCAATCAAGGTTGGCCTTGGGGAGTTAGGAACATAAAAACGATGAACAGAACACTTTTGGGTTAGAGCCACAACTTGTGGCTTGTTACTTGTACTGAGAAATAATCCTTGTTAACAAGACAGGACCACCTACAGCAAGAAGGGGCAAAATCTCTCTTCTCTTAAAAGGTACACCCTTGGATGAGCCATGGTCCTTAGCACCACTATATCTTATAGTCAGAAAGGACTGCACTCAGCCATCCTTACAGTTCGGAGGAATTTGTCAAAATGGCCAATGCTGCATCCTTATTTTTAACAATTCTGTTGGAGTTGAAAGTAGCTGGGCCTTAAAATAGGAGAGAGCACCCTCTCTCTTCAGTTCTTCTGATTCATCGCCATGGAAGGCAACCCCATTGTGCAATCTCTGAAGGAGAAAGGCGTGTATATCACACATGTAACTGTAGACCCATTGGGTACAGTCAATTGGGGACTGATGTGAAGAAATTGAATTTCAAAGATAAATCATAGGCGAGCTTTTGAATGAGGTTTGGAGATATAAACAAACACATCATTTGATATAATTACACATGCAAACCTCCAATTTTGGAGGGGAATTACGCCAGTCCTAAGTGAATGATACTCACCAAAGAGGGGGGAGAGCATATGGCTGGAACCATGCAATTACTTTAAAAATGACTAGTTCTGATTTTTTGTTGTGGAGACGGGACTCTCACAAGCTCTCTGGGAAAGAGCTTTTTGTGCTCTCTGAGCACAAAAATGTTGCTGCCTGTTCCAAAGAGAACTCACAGAGTTCTAAGTAGTTATGGTAGGAGAAGTGATACTTGTCAGATGACATCGTTTTCTGGCTTTCTCTCCCTGTGGGTGTCCTGGGTCACAGCTGTGTAATCTATTGCCGTGACATTCACATTTTCTTTAAGTGCTACTCGAAGCAATGCATGCCTTAGCTGCTTCAGCATAATTTACCAGGACTGTTGGAAGCTGAGTTTAGAATTAGAAATACAACTAGAATGATCAGCCCTGTGAACCCCAATTAGTGCCTAGTCTGTCTTTTTCATCTGCATTTCCTCTGCTTGCCATTTCTCCATGTCTATCCCCAGCTATCTGGTAAACCCCTCACTGTCCTTCCAGACAGTTTGCACATTGCCTTCTCGGTGAAGCCTTCTCTGATTTTCCCTCTGGTGTATTTTGTGTAACCCATCTGTGGTCAGGATCTCCCTCTAGGCCACAGTTGCAAGAAGGAAGAGATTTTGGGTAGTTCACTAGGTGGGCTCAGGAACCTAGATTAGTGCGGGCCACAGTTGTTCAATATAGAAATAGTACTATCACAGCACCCAACGCGACCAAGCTCTGTTTGCTAGGGCACTTTTCCTAATACAATACAAATAAAGGGGCTGAAAACAGATCTTATTCACTTTGTGTTCTTGGTATTTAACATAGAAGCTAGCACATTGTAGGTAACAAGCAAAAATTGTTTGAATGAATCTTCTAGAACTCTCAATACCGTTTTATGCAGAATGGACATAATTGTCCCAAACCAAGGGTTGTTAAAATTAACTGGATGCTCTGTTTCAGTCTTTGAATAATTTCAATGTCTTCCCAATATTTGGAACCCTCTTTCATACTGGCAGTTGAAGGCATTTTGAACAATTCCTGACAGCCTTTTATTTATTTATTTTTATTATTTTTTAAATGTTTATTCACTTTTGAGAGACAGAGGGAGACACAGTGGGAGTGGCGGGGGGAGTCAGAAAGAGAAGAAGACACAAAATCCGAAGCAGGCTCCAGGCTCTGAGCTGTCAGCACAGAGCCCGATGTGGCTAAGACTGGACTGTGAGATCATGATGTGAACTGAAGTGAGACACTCAACTGACTGAGCCACCCAGGTGCCACTATATATTTTTTTAATTTTTAGCTGCCGATTACTATTATGCATTCGCCTTTGTGGCCATTTCCATGGTCTTCCCACATCCTGGTTTCTATCGAGTTCATGGAGAAAGGCAAGCAAATAATAGTATCATAGTATCCCACATGTGTCAGCCACTGTACTACACAGTTTATGTACATGCTCTCATTTAATCTCACAGTTACAAGAAACAGGAACCATTCTGACTTCGCTTAGAAGGAAATGGAGTTAAATAATTTGCACAAGGTCGCCAATGACTAAGCCATCATTCCACACCCAGTGATGTTACCTCGGAAGTTTCTTCACTATCTCCCTAGCAGATGAGTATGTCCAGTGGTGGCAAAGCTGCCTGCCTGGGGGGCCAGGAGGTCTGAGTCCTAGTCTCAGCTCTGTCAGTTACTGGTTATAAGATTCTGGGCAATCACATATTTTCTCTAGGTCCCAGTTTCCTCATCTGGGAATGTCCTAAGTCTCTTTGCAGCATGAGGAGTCTATAATAGCACAAACACATTAAAGGAGATCATTTTCTGATCTTTCATTGACCCCACTCTCTTCTTGGTGGGCCTGAGCCCAGCTGAGCAGGACTTGGGCAAGTCACCCAGGCAGGAACTAGAGGGGGTGTGGTCTGATTTTAACCTGTCCACAAAACCTTTATACCTTTTGAATATGATCCCATTACTGGCAAATGATATATCATTTGCAAACACCTTTTCTCATTCAGTAGATTGCCTTTTTGTTTTGTTGACAGTTTTTGTTTGCTGCCCCAAATCAGCACTGAAGCATCCACATCTCTCTCAAAAGGAGGAAAATCAAAATGCTGTGAACTCTGAGTGCATGTTTTCAAATGAAAAAAATTAACTTCTTAGTCATCCACACGTTTATCGTCTCTTCCATAAGATTCCAAAATCTAGAACTTCTGTTTCATTTCTACCTTTCAATTCAGCCCACAAGGACGCCTCAAAATGTTGCCTGCGGTATTTACACATGGACATAAGGCCATGCACTGAATTTGGAGAGAATGAAATGCACACACACTAAGTGCAAATTTCAGGGCAAGTGTAAATTCAAACACAAAACCTTATATGGGAAAAGTTAAATTTGGAGTGAAGACATCTATTAAGTTTGTTTTAAAAAGATAACTAGGGGGCTCAATACCAGTTGAGCAGTCAACTTTCAGCTCAGGTCATGATCTCATGGTCACAGAGTTGAGCCCTGCATTGGGCTTGGCGCATTGCGTGGAGCTTGCTTAAGATTCTCTTGCTCTCTCCCTCTGTCCTCTCCCCTGCCCCTCGCAAAGTTAAAAAAACAAACAAACGGGTGCCTGAGTGGCTCAGTCAGTTGAGTGTCTGATTTCACCTCAGGTCATGATCTCGCAGTCTGAGTTTGAGCCCCGTGTTGGGCTCTATGCTGTCAGCTCAGAGCCTGGGGCCTGCTTAGGATTCTGTATCTCCCTTTCTCTCTGCTCCTCCCCCACTCATGCTCTGTCTCTCTGTCTCAAAAAAATATGTAAACAGTAAACCATTTTTAAAAATAAAATTAAAAAATAAAAAAAATAAAAAAGACAACTAGATAATACGTGTTCATAGACTACATAGTATTTATTTAAAAAGAATCACCAGAAATAAAGAATAGACAAGAGCTAAAACATCAGCTATGAGAGGGTTAAAAAAAGAACCCAGAAACTGGTTCTATCAGACAAGCTTCTTAAGTAAGAGCTGTTTCATGAGGTGTAAAGATTCGGAGTTGCTTGATTGAGCGCACAGCGCTACTGTTAAATTTTCTTAAGAAAATCTGACAGGGAAATCACTGATGGAGCTTTCATCTGCAACTTGAACTTTTCTTTATAGCGATTTCTGGGATGCCAACATAAGCTTTTAAACTGTGTAAATGAGGATGCACCTCAAGTGTGAAGACCCTGTGGGTCAAACGTGGTTCCTAGCTCTTGGTTTTCTATTACCAGTAAGTTTCAGTTTCTTTCTTTGCAAGCCAATGGATGGCATTTCTCAATTCGGCCTGAGCGGCAGGGAAATCGCAGGCAGGATTCTTCTGCCAGAAATACTTTCCCCCTTGGATACAGGACGCTGTAGCAGCTACAGGTAGCAAAAGGGGAAAAGCCAGCTTGTGCAGGAAAAGTATCGATGCCTGCACACATCCTGCACCTTTACTTGAGGCCTAGTTGACCGATGTTGTTGCCCACAGCCTGGAGGGAGGGTCTGAGGTTCGGGCAAGCCCTGCTCCCTTGCTGTACCACTCATTACAGACAAGATCGATTAGGGGATCTGGGTCAGGGCAACTTGTCATCGGGGCGAAGGATAAGCCAGGAGCCAACAAGGGAGGAATAATGATGTTATGTGGTGGAGAATATTCCAAACGTCTCTTCTCTGAGTAATTCTCTCGTACCGAGTGGTTCTGCCACACACATCCACATATGCACACGCACACATGTACACACACATGGGACCAGAGATGTTGTGTGTGAGTCCACTTTCGCCAGGACACCTGGATACTTTCCAGTCCTGTCTGTTCCTCCCTCAGTGTCTCTCCTCATCACCATTCCTCATGGCTCTCCTTCCCAACCTCACACAGCCCTCTGGCTCTGTCTTCTGGTCTGGCCTAGATGAAGAAGTTATTTATGTACCTGAAGACGTCTCTAGATGCTTTAGCTAAGCCTTGAATGCCATATTGGATTTCTTCAGAGAAATTAAGCTACAGATGGTGAACCAATATTAAGGATGTTGTATAAAATGATGCCATCTTTTGGTGCCATTAACATATCACTGATGTGTGTGCTCAGATGTGCAATATGGTGCACATCTCCCCCTTTCTCTTTCTGCCAAGAGTTGTATTTTTTTTTTTTTTTTTTGCAGAATTCTGAATATTAGATGATCAAAATAAGGAAGAGGTAGTGGCTGGAAATCTAAATGACACTATATGGATGGGTCTTGGGGACTGTCCAGTCTGGGAAGCACCACATTGCTTCGCAGGACTCTAACCAGTGCTCACGCTTTGGTCTCAGGTCGGCTGGCTTTGCAGCTCAGTCCCGCCCCCAGGCGACTCAGAGTAGTCAGCAAGTTACTTATTAGCTTCTTTAAAGATCAGCTTCCTCATTGGTAACTTGCGGCTTATTAAATTAAATGATTGATTTAAAATGTTTAGTTTGATTGCTGGCACATATTAAATGCCCAAATAATGTTACTCTTATTATTATCTCCAGAAATGACACTGGTAGTCTCCTATGTGTTCAAAGATCCAATTGTGCTTCCTTCTCATCTTGAGATTTCCCCTCAAAGGCGTCTACACATTTGGGAAACAGAAATTGCAAAACGTCTACTACTTACTCTGTCACCTGACCGATGAAGAAACCGATGCTTACAGTTTATGTATCTTGTTCAAAGATCTATTTATCAGAAACCCTTCATCCGTACATTATCAAATTTTATCAAGAAGATATTATGTATACCAGGAGCTCAAAGTGTGGCATGGAGTAGCGGCATCAGCATCATGTACGAGCTAGCTAGATGTGCAAAGGGGCAGACTCCTCCCAGACCCACGTGATTTGTATGCACACTGCATTTTGAGAAGCTTGGCTCTAGATCACTGCTGTTTTTCACACTCAGCTGTGTCTTGGAATCATGCGAAGAGCATGAAGACACACAGAGGCCAGGGTCCCACATCCAGAGGTTCTGAATTATTTGGGTTGGGCAGAGGTCTAGCATAGGATTACAAAAAAAAAAAATTTAAGGTTTATATATTTTTAAGAGAGACACAGAGAGAGAGAGAGAGAGAGAGAGAGAAAGAGAGACAGAGAAGGAGCAGGGAAGAGGCAGAGAGAGAGAGACACGATCCGAAGTGGGTTCCAGGCTCCAAGCTGACAGCACAGAGCCTGACTCGGGGCTCGAATTCACAAATCGCGAGGTCATGACCTGAGCCGA